GTAGAATTTACAAGCATGCTTTCATTAAGACACATGTGTATTGAGATACTTAAAAAAACATTAAGCACAATGGAAACTTCAGCCACTCCACTCTATGTCATTAAAACTTGCTACCCATGGTCTTCTCACTGAGTGCCATAATGGGAGAGTGTTTATTGGGTTATGGGGGAAAGATTGTTGCCAAGCTGCCAGTGCCTCCATATGTGGCCAAATCTACATTCTTATTACTCCTGTGGGTCTACAATATTCTATCCACATTTGCTTTTCAGGAGGCATGAAGGTAGCTCTGAAATAATCAGTTGTTTGTTGTGCAGAAAGGCAAGCTACTGGGTATTTTTAGGGAGACTATTTACATTAAAAGGAGCACCTTCTATGTACTACAGATGGGTAGGAATGGGTTTTTAATTGAAAGAGAAAAAAAAAACCTGGGAGAATTAGCAAGCAGTGGGATACTTCCTGTTGGAGCAGGAGGGGATCTCGGGGTGATGTCAGCTCGCTAATGGCAATTCATTTCTTGTGTAGAGTTGACTCGGGTGGTGCTGACATATGAACTTAGTCAAGAAAAAGTTGAAGTATAAGTCAATTACGATTCTGAAATCTGTGTCCCAAGAAAAGAATTGATGGATTTTCTTTTAATGAAAGGCACCTCATCTGTTATAACCCTATATGGAAAGCATTAGTAAAGAAAGTAAAGGAGTTTCTTCAGATGCTCGGAGCTCTGTCCAGTATAAAATTTCCCTACACAGTGCCCTAGGAAGTACAAAGAAGGGGCTTAGGTAAATTCTGTAATAGAAAACGAGGTTGAGAATGGCCCAAGAAAAAGTTCTTAATGAAGCACCCTTTATTTTCATGGGCTTACAGGTTTACCCTTTCAGGGGCTTCCTAGGTCATTTAAGTAGATTCTTCAGGAGCCAAGGTGGTTAAATCCTTAGCTGGAGCTTGGGAATGTTTATTTGAACCTGCAATTATGTAGTGATCTTTATTGTTCATGCGGTTCCCAACATGTCACTTTGAAATTTTCTCATCCGTGTAACCATCAAAAATGAAAACAAACCACTATTTAACTGATGTTTCATTTTCTGAACTGTTAATGTCAAACTGACCTAAGCTGTCTCTTGACAAGTAGGACAGATTAGATGTCAAGTGGCTCAGCCTTGAAGATTCCGTATCTCTCTCTCTCTCTCTCTCTCTGGTCTTTGTGGCATTTCTCTGGATTAGTAACGTTACACATCTGGTCATTAATCCCTTCTGAAGCAGATCTATTTCATCTTTTCAAGCCAAAGACCTTAGTTTAATTTCTACTGGAATAACGAAAAAAGGAAGAAGTTATCCTGCTCCCCAGAATGAAAATAAACCTTACCATTTCCATCTTTTGATTCCTATTTGGTTCTTTTTTTTTTTTCAGAGTACAGAAGCAGTGGATGCAGCAAGTAGGAGGATGGTCTGCAAGCTACCTGATTCTGGTGTTCAAGCTAACAGAACATAGACCCACGTTTTTTTCTTTACAGTCATGGGTATGATTTTCCATAATGATCTTTCCTCTATGAAAAAGCAATGTTCTTCCTTAAAGGCATTGGGTGTTTATGCTTGCCATTTGGATTTACAAACTCATTGCTATTGGCAAAAATGGGCCAGTTCTACTCTCAATAGCATGAGGCATTTATTTTCGTTCTGAGAGCATTTAGGTGTGGCCACCTGTGATAACATAACACTAAGGTTCTGTGCTCCAGTCACAACTGACCAAGCAACAATCACACCCATATATTAAAGTGATCACTCAGAGCTGGCAGCTTCTTGTTTCGGAGAAATACAGCAGTCAGGGACAAGAGAGGAAACCCAGATGCTCCCTTGAAGGACAAAAAAAGGGGGAAGAGAAATCAAAGCAGTAGAGGTCATCTGAGAGTCAAGCAATGTCGTTGCCAAATCTCCAAGAGAAGGTAGGAAAGGAGAAATTGTTCTAGGTACAAAGAGAAAAACTGGAAGGAAGGAAATCCCCAAGTTGTAATATGACCTAGATCCTTCAGCAAAGCTACTGCTCTGTAAAGCTGTTGCCAAGTGCTGTTTTAATCAAAGCCAGCCTATGTTGCAACGCCATTCTGAGAGTGTAGTTATTTCCACCATGAGCTCTATGACAGAGCAGCAGTGAGGAACACAGAACAATACTGGCAACATGGAACTGGATTCTCATTACTTCCTTTCAGATGGAAAAGTTACTCGCTTGCTTTGCTGCAAAGACAAACTACATCTTGGTATTGGACTCGTAATACAGCCATTTCCCACTGATAATTATTTCATATACTTCACCTTTTCTCCCTCAGAAAATTTTAATCACTGTAGTTCTTAAACTCATAGATCATATTTGAAGATTTAAATTTACATACCATGCAGGCAAAAGATGCTAGAAAAAACATGTTTAAATAGAAAAGAGAATGGAATAATGAATAGACTGAACAGAAAAAAGGTTTATGTAGCACTTTCAGCTCATAGGGGTGGATTTGACAAAGATCCTAACTCCGAGGCTGAACATATTACAAGCCTCAAAGTCTTCAAAGCTATTTTATTTACACTGTAGGAAAATACAAACAGAGCACTCAAGAAACTACTCATGTGTGATTAAAACCACACACGGCCCATTTCCGCTGGAGGGATTTGTGCAGGAAATCAACAAATTACTTAAAATCACTGCCTGAACTTTGCCTCCGAGGGACTCTGAGAAATGGTTAAGCTTTGACAATTTCACAAGGACATATGCATCTGTGGTATAGTTCATTGTGCGAGTCAACTTACCTGGGTCATGGAGTGCCTAGATATTTGGTCATATATTCTAGCCATTTCTTTGAGAATGTTACATTTGCATTGGCGGAATCCATAAAATAGGTCAACCTCTGTAATGCGAATGGATCACGTTCATTCAGTTGAAGACTTGAATAAAACAGCAGGCTGACCCCACCTTAAGAGAGAGAGAATTCTCCCCAGACAGTCCCTACACTGGCACATCTACTTATCCTGGCCCACAGTCTCTGCACTAGAACATCAGGTTTTCCCGGTTCTCCTGCTTTGTACTTGAAGTGGGAGATCATCTTTGCTTATTTGGATTTGCTGGGCTTTCTAATTAGACAAGATAATTTCTCACAATAAGTATCTGTCTTTCCATTGAAGTGTCTCTTCCCCGTATCTTATTGCTTTTGTGTGTTCCAGGAACCCAAACTAATATGCCATCTCAGATTTTTGAGTGGCATACAAACGGGCCAGTACACTATCAGCGCTGATAAAACTTTTGCTCTATGGATGGGTGACTATATATATCACAAGTACAAATCAGTGATAGTCACACATTTGATAACCATTCCTTCTTACATTAAGAGCTCACCACCATCATCTGTCTTCAGTCAGTAACCCTCAGACTCTTCAGATATCCACAGTTTTCCCCAGGTACAAGTACCATGCAAGGTTATTACTATGATTATCTAAAATTCTACCTGTTGCCAAATAGTTATCCTGTCATCATTCTTCCTGACATGAAATTCATAGTCCTAACTGCATCCATTGAAAAATATGGCCACAATGATAAAAGCATTCACATCGCAGAGGTATGTTTCAGAAAGAATCCAGTGGTATGCAAGGGTTGTCAGAAGCACATTTTCTTAAAGGTCTTGCTATTGAGTTTGCCTTGTGTTTCAGTGAGGAAGGTCGAAGGCATTTGGAAAAGGCAAATGGCTGGTATGAATTTATTGGAACACGTAGTCCGTTCATCACTGATCCTGAGGACTGTATTGTCTTCCATCACAGCCCTTTAGACTAGGTCTGACACAGCAGGGTTCTTAGTACTTAAAGTAGCAAATACAAGGCACCATGGGTGATTAGTTAAGTGATGGTTTCAATGCATTAACCATTTTAAATGCGTTCACCCTACAGATCTATTCTGAAAACATAGCAGTTAGCATGTGCTTCCTTCGAGAGAATCCAGTCACGTGAACACATAAAAATCAACCAACAAAGCTCTTTCCTCCATATTGTCACCTTCTGTAATAAAAAGTGACTCACATTTCTGAAGAGATCTTTGCCTACTAATCTATGCCATTTTTGCAGGATAGCGCCCAAGGAGTTTTCCAAGAAGGCAGCCTAGTTCTAGAGAATATTTATGTCCTCAGTCTCCTGCTTGAAGGCACTTAGGCAAAATCAACACACCTTAGCACATCCACATCAGTGACCAGAAGAAGGATTTGTATTGACTATTCCATGAAAGATTCAGACATATTTCATCATGCAGCCTTGACAACAACAAGTGGTGATCACTTCGTACTTCCAGTTAGCCATGTTAAGCGACGTGGCCAGGTGCACAAAGCAAATAAGAGATAGAACCCAAATTAAAACCTGTCTCTCTTTGATTCTAATCTCCCTTTGCTTTCTAACTTGGGAAGATAGTTTCTAACTGGGGAAGACACGGCAATTGTGTGATCTGAGGAAAAGGAAAGGCTTGAAATTTAAGAAAGGAACATTCCACTTCCTACCCTCGCAGACCAGTGGCACACAGAGCCACCGCCCTCCGCAGAGCCATCCTCCACCCTTCCCCAGAGCTCTTTGTGTAATACAGGTGTAGCACGTACACCCTGCCAAAGAGGCTGAAACTGTAAGGATATGTTAAATACTTTATAATATGGCAAAAGTCTTGGGAAAATAATAAGCACGCACACAGTGATTAGTAACAGAATTTTGCCAGACATAAAAGTGGTAGTCCCTGCGAGTTTAAAGTAATTTCTGAAACAATTCCTCTTAAAACAAGTATCTGTTTAGAATATGATAAGTTATTTGGAATTACCTCATCTCTACCAGAAACATATTCGTTTACTTTTCTACACTTTCTTTTTCCTGTTTGCTCCTGGGGATCAGGTTTCCTGCTACTTGTTTGACCCAAATCATGGTTGTGAAATTATGTTTTTAAATATAAAACTATGTGGCCATCATGAATAGAAGCGAAGATGTTACGCAGAAGGTGTTACCTAGAATGCAGAGCCCATCTGTGCAGTTTGCAGATTCCTGGCTGAGTCCTTCGCAGAACTTGCCCCCGTTCCTCGGGGGTGGTGCCGTGCACTCTCGGATTCGAAGATGCTCGCACTCTGGGCTGCAGACTGACCACTCACTCCACACTTCCCAGCTCCCATCCACTTCAAAGGGAAACAACATAAACTGCCATTAGAGGGAATCACGCAGCTGGGCAAGACTCACCCCAGATCCACCGCTGCCTTTACAGCTGGGTTTTAAAGCAACTACCACAATGAAGTCAAAACACTAGATCATAATACTGCCTTTTCTCTAGCTGGCCTCTTTTCTTTCTAACAAAAGCAGTGGTATCATTCTCTTGCTACTTCAGACTGAGGCTTATTGAATTTAAGCAAGATTTTGAATGACCAGAGCTTTTGGGTTGGCTAGAAACATCATCATGTACCCTTTCCTAATCTTCCAGGCTCCAGGACAACCGACATGGGCAAACTGCAGAGCACACTGGTAATCAGCCACTGCCTTATAGGTTGACAGTTTAGAACAGGGGGTAAAGTGAACTATTTTTAAGTCCTAAAAACCCCAAACAATAAAAAGTTAAACACAAATATAAGGATAGCATTAAACTAAAACAGGTCAGTCAAACCCCAAGATGCCAGGAGGTAAAAATAGAATTTCTCAGGTCATGGATGGCTGCGGTATGTAGAGATGAACAAACTGAACTTAATTCCATTAAAGATCAACCCTAGAGATTAGGGCAGATGTTCAAGGCAATTGCCCCCCTCCCTCCCAGGAACAGCCTAACTGTACTGCAATTTTTAAAGCAATTAGGCAAGAATAAGATAATATGATAATTAGTGAACTTGAAACAAAGTGCCTGTGCCCTTGTCTTGGTTCTATCAACTTATCAGCTGAGTAACCCTGAGTAAGTCACATGGCCTCTACCATTTATGTTACCTGAGGATAAAACAACTCACAACAGAGTTACATGACATTATAGATGGAAAAATGTCCTGCACAATACCTGGCACATAGTAAGCACTCAATAAATGCTTATTGAATAGGAATCAGAATGAAGCCCGAGAATTTGCTGGTGTCGGAAGCCTCACCTTAGCTTTAAGAGGAACTAAATTAAAAATTTTAACAGACAAGAGACTCCAGGCCAGTGTGCTTGGAGTCAGTGCTCTGTAGTGCATGTGAGACACAGGATCAATTTATTTCTCAGTGGGAGGATATGCTTTCCATACAGAAAGCCATCTTCCATCTCATCTATTTCTCATTGTATAAATTGGGTTACAGCTAGGGAGAGATGAACAAATGGACTGATAGGAGACATGTTTGGTAAATGAAGTCTCTCTGTTCAGAAAACAGGGATGCTCAGACCAAATGTAAGATACAGACGCTGTACTGTAAATAGATACAAAGCTACAATAGACAGAGGGTCAAGCTTTTGGTTTCTGCTCTTTTATATTTAAAGATGTCTTACTAACCCCTTCTTACTATTTATTATACAAAGACATTTCATACAGCAGAAGTTCCTAAGGAGAGAAGGGGTGGCATAGCCCAACTGGACACGGGTAGTATAAAAAAATACTTCAAAACGTTTGGCTTATTGGTAGTAAGCGCTCAGCGTCATATGAGTATTAAACAAAAACACCATGCCCTAAAACATTGTGCAGAGGCATTTCATACTCTTGCTACCACAATGAGTTTGATATCAGCAACTTGGACAGAGACTCAAGAGACCTTGGAAGGGGGTGACTTTGGAAAGGAAGGTTATATTGATGGGTTCACGCCAGTTTAATAGTATTGGTGGCTCAGAAAGGAAAGGGGAATCTGCGTATATCTCACCAGGACAAAGAGAAGTGCAGGTTATTTTCTGCACTGACATTCCCTCACAAAAGGCCCCACCATTGAGAGGAGCTGGGTTGGTGCAGGTCCGGGAACGTTTCTGCCATCCTCTACCACAGCGAACATTGCAGGCTGACCACTCTGTCCAGGAAGACCAGCCTCCATTCACTGAGAGACAAAAATGGGAGGGGAGAAAACAAGGAGAGAGGTTTTTACTGATTGCCTACTATGTGCAAAAGCCACTGTGCCAGGAACTGTGAGTCGGGCATCCAGGGATGAACACACCAGGTGGAGCCCCACTGGTCGTTCTGCTGTGAGGTGGCAGGGGCCTTGTCTCATCTACCCTTCAACTACTCACTGTGAAAGGACGGACCCAGGGAGTTCGCTTCACAGGGAAATTATGAGAAAGAGGAAGAACGCATCAGCAGATCACTAAAGTACTTGAAAGCCCACAGTATAAAAAGAAAATATCAGCATTTGAATTTCTATTACCTTAAGTGCTTCAAAAATAAATCCCAGGGCTCTTCTATTGTGAAAGGAAATGCCTTTACTTAAATAGCTGGGAATTTCTTTTATACAATACCTGAGAGAGTCAGCAAATAGTAGTGTTTGTTTTTGGTGGATTTCATTATGCAAGGAGAGAACTACCTGAAAGCAAGACTGGGAAGAGGGAGGTGGTCTTGGGTTTAGGAGAAGGGAAAGGCAGAAGTTGCCCGCCTCGATGCTTTTCAAATGTAAACAGAATAGAAGAAAATAAGTAAATCTTTCATTATTTTTAGAACAGAGAGGTTGGAAATGTCTCTGCCTGTCTCACAGCAGGCTGATAGTAGATGGAATGGCAAACACGCTAATAGCAATAGGGATGTTTTCTTGCCTGTCAAATGGGGGAAGAAAGACAGAACCCTGCAGCTGATGAACCTCTGTGTCCTTTCAGCTCCACACATTGAAAGCGTTAATAAATTGCCTATCTCTCTGGCTCTCTCAGTGCTGCCCTCCTTAGGCAGTCACGGCTTCGGGGCCGGTCTTACCGTAGACCACCACAGTGGCCGACAGGCTTCTTCTCTTAGCCACTATGTTGGCCGCCATGCAGGTGTAATTCCCCGAGTCAGAGAGCCGTGCCTGCCGGATGATTAGGTTGTGGTCAGCCCTTGTGTCAATGTTCTCATCTTGCTCAGAATCGATGGGCTCCTCATTTTTCAGCCATTCCACCTACAAGAAGAAAAGAACGTTTATAAGTTATTGAAAAATCAGTCTGTTCTACAGTTGGAAGGTGAGCAGTTATGGGAGAGAGGTGTGCCTGTTGCACTGTGCAACAGTGATGACTTTTCTTTGTTCCACGTCCCTTTTATTAAGTTTGATTTTCGTCAAACTCAAGTTACAAAGTGAAAGTAGGAAAAGAACACAAATATCCAACAACTTTGACCCATTTTCTAAAAGTGCAGTGGAGGAGAGAAAATAAGTGCTGGCACGAGGTCACTTCATCCTGTTTCACTAGAGCACATCATGATGAAGGCGATGAGGATGATGATGATGATGGTATTTCAACAATTGTTCTAACACAGAACTTAGAAAAATAAAAAATACACACGCTGAGCTGGGTCCTTTATTCTGGGAAGACATTACATTATTCGACAAAGTTCCAAGTCAGTATGTTATATTGAAACAAAGTTTAATAAAGGTACAAAAAGGTATAAAGTTCAAAGTAACCTAGACTTGAGCAATCACAGACACAAAGCAAATTCAGACCATGGTGTGCTCCAGGTCTGGAGATCCTTCTCTTTGGTCCTCATTTGTGCCAACCTCGTACCTTTATGTTAGAGAAGCTGTTTTCCTCCTTTCACTACCATCCGATGCCTACACTTACCAAGTGGCATGGCTCATATATGAAATGTCCTCCCAAAGTCTTCTGGGTTTGGAAGGTGATTGCTCAAAGGATTGGTACCTTCTTCAAGGGATTAACTCATTGATGACTTTTAGCTGAATGTGGTGTTAGACGGTGGGGCCTGGCTGGGGGGGGTGTGACCTGGAGAGGGGTAGTCTTGTCCCTGCCTCCTCCCTCCTCTCAGCTTCTTGGATATTCTGGTTTTGCTTTGGAGCCAACCAAGCATGGCCTGGACCACTATAACCATGAATGTAAATAAACCTCTTCTACAGTAGGGCCAAACACCCTCCCTGGAAGAAAGACAGCCTCTTTAATAAATTGTGCTGGGAAAACTGGCTTTCTATGTGGCAAAGGTTAAACCTAGAACCATAGCTCTCACCAAGCACTAAGCTAAAATTTAAATGGATCAAAGATCTAAATATTAAAACAGAAATAATCTGATGGAAGATAGAATATATAAAACTCTAGAAGATATAGATGTCGGTATACTTTCTGAACAAAATCCCAGTTGCACAGGAAATACTACAAAGAATCAAAAACATGGATCGTATCCAAATAAAAAGCTTTTGCACATCAAAAGAAACTACCACCAAAGTGAAGAGAAAATCCACAAAATGGGCAAAAAATTTACCAGCTACTCAAAGAACTAATATCTAGAATACATACATAACTCAAAAATAAAAAATCAGACCCCCATATTTAAAGACCCAATCCCAAAATGGGCATCTGAAATAGATGTTTCTTAGATGAAGTACAGACACAAAATAAACACATGAAAAACTCTCCAGAGTAGCTGATCATTTGAGAAATGCAAATTTAAACACAATACTGAGATTCCATCTCCAGAAAGAATGGCTGTCATCAAGAAATCAAGCAATAACAAACGCTGGCAAAGCTGTGGGGAAAAGTAACCCTTCTTCACTGCTGGCGGGAGTGTAAGTTGCTATGACCACTATGGAAATCAGTATGAAGGTTCTACTGGACCTAGCTATTCCTCTTCTAGATATCTTCTTGAAAGAATTTAAAGCATCATACCATTGATATGTGTACTCCCATGTTTAGAGCAGCACAATTTGTAATGGCTAAATCTTGGAAACATCCCATCAACCCAACAACACACAAACGAATAGAGAAATGTGGAGTTTATATACAATGGAATTCTACTTTGTCATAAACAAGAACAAATGAGATGTTTTTAGGTAAATGGATGCATCTCCAGGCCATTCTTTAAGGTGAAATAAATCAGACATACAAGTTTGAATATCGCATTGTTTGTCTTATGTGAAAAATCTAAAGGGTAAATAAGGAGCAAAATAGAGGATGGATATCGGGAAGGAAGGAGAATTAAAATGGGAAGGAGAACAAGGTGAAGGAGGAGGAAGGAAAGGATGAGAAATAGATTTAAAAGAATGGAAGGGAAAAAACAGAAACAAAGCTTTTGTAAATGAGAAGAGCTGAAGAGAGGGAAAGGGAATAGAAAAATACAATTAAGATATATTACATATAAGTGCACATCCAATATGATGAATGTAATTATTATGTATGGCAAACGTACTAATCAAGCACACACACACTTAAGAAAAAACTCTCCTCTACTTTGCAGTGTTGGGGATTTGGTTTCAGTGACGGAAAAGTTACTAATGCCCTAAGCTTCCCTTTCGTTGGACACTTGAAGAAACACGGAAGGCTTTGGGTACCAAGTCCCCCTTCCTGAAATGGAGGCGCACTGCCCTAAGCATAGATGTCACAAAGCAAACCACTTTCCCACGACCGGGTCTTTCCCTGTGCGTCCTCTGCTTCCATCTCTGAGCAATAGCTCCACTCTCTAGGGCCATCTTGGAAGCACCAGGCATTTCTTGTTTGACAATAACTATTTAGCTCTAGTTAGCACATATGTAAGATGCAGTCATTTAACACAGACTCACAATAATCTTAATTTATCATAGAAAGCGCTGGCAGCGACTATGAAGAGACAGCACATCAAAGCAGAAAGATCAAGGGGCGTTTTGTCGTACTCTGCCCACCATTAGCAAGGCTAACAGAAAGTTGGCTTCAGAATAACATGCTCCATTATGCAGTTTTATTGATCAGAAGAAAACCTGTCATGATCTTTGAATCCTTACCCTGAGGATTCCCGCCCCGATAAATGAGTGTTTAGAGAGCAAACATCACCATCATCATCCAACATTTAACCTAGAAGAGGTCTATTTGAGAAAAGAAAATGACAGCAAATGTCCCGAAGAGGTCCGAGGAGTCCAGGAGAACAGAAAGAAGAGCTGTAAAGCAAAGTGAAAGCAAAGCTTCGTAAAATGCAGGCTCACATCTCACCACCGACCCCCAGGAATCCCTACACCATGTTCCAGCCTGGAGAGGCAGCACCGACAGGGAGCTGAGCCGAACAGCATGGTTCTGTCGGACAAAGCAAGGCGAAAGAACCGATTTTAGAACACATTTAACTATGGCTTGTGACTCGGTGTCCTCTGTTCTACACGAACACTTCGCAGAGCTGTTCATATATTCATTTGAAAAGTGCGCAAACGTTTCTTGAATATCAAAGGCTGCTCTTTGTGCCGGGTTAAGTGATGTAAAGAAAAACCAAGACGGCTCATCTCTCCTGGTCCTTACATTTGATAGGCAAGACAGAAAAACACAAATAAATCCACGTCTTCACGAAAATAAGAGGTGACTATAACACTACCATCAATTTCATAGGGAAATGTTTCCTGTGAGGAAAACTATATTACAGAGAACTATATTATAAAAATCACCATCACCCCTACAGTATCACTGGAAAGAACAAATTGATCTCCTTAGAGTAGGTTTAAGCCTGTTGTTGTGCCTCCATTCTCATTTAGAAATTCAGGTATTAATGGTTCCTTTTCTCATGGTTAATTCTCTACTTTTCTTTTCTTCTTTTTGAAATCCGTGATGTCTAAAGGCTCCTTATTCTCTGCTTTTGCATTCTTTTCTCAGGCTCTTGGTAGGCAGTGGGGAAAGTCCAGCCCTGTCTCACAAGTACATTATTCTTAGAGGGTGGACAGCCAGAGAGAGCACTGTGGGTAGTGGCCTTGAAGACTGAACCTCAAAGAATCCCAGCACCTGGAAATCAAAGAAAGCTTTTCTAACAGAATCATGGCCCAGAGAAAAGGAGAGCCGCAGCCATGAGAGATTTGGCTTCAGTTGAAAATTTATAGAAAAATCATTCACAAAATAACCTCAGTCAACAAAGCAGGAAAATACTTGATAATAGGGTAATATAAATAAGAAAAAATAATGTAGATGATAAAATCTATCCCAGGAGGGCCGGGAATGTAGCTTAGTGACAACACTGTTCATAAGAAACAGAAAATGCATTGCAATTAGAAAAATAATGCACACTATTTATAATTTTTAAAGAATATGAGATTTTTTATTATCAAAAAGTTTAAAATCTCATACATATACACATTTAACACCATCTTTCCTTTTGGATTTTGAGGGAGCAGATCACAGTGCATTTAGCCCATTAATACTACTTCCTTTCTGGGGTTTCTGCAGCCACTTTCTAACTACCAGGTCTTTCCGCCGCCTTTCTTCCTGACTCTACCTGATTCCTCACAAAGGATTCAGTTGTGTTACTTTCTAGCTAGAAATCCTTGAACAGCCTTGAATTCTTCCAAAGACTAAGGGATTCCTCTGTGGCCCAGCTCCCTAAGTATTTTCCACCACGTATTCTCTAAGTGACCCCTTGCTCAGTCTGCTTCAATATCCTGGACTGCTTCCTGTTCTAGAAATTCAAAGCAAGCTCCAACTTCAGAGCATTAACATCGCACATCCTTTGCCTGAAGACCTTTCCCCAAAACCACTTCGCCATCAGGGACAGGACAGATGTGATCTCCTGGGAGAGGCCCTGTCCACGAACCCTTTCTAGAACAGAAGGCTGGTCCACTCCTCCCTCGCTTTCACTCTTTTCTTTGTATTTATCACCATCTGATAGTCTGAAACATAGTGGTGCCTATTACATCACTATACCTGTTATCTACTGTATCTTTTTTGATAAACCAAGAATTCAAGAATTTATCAAAAGAAAGTATTAGGGATGTAAGTGAAATTTAAGCACATTATTTCTGGTAGGAAGATGGAAAGCAGGAAGGTAAAGAGGGAAGGGAAGGGGTAAAAAGAAAAATGAGGGGAAGGACAGAAGAAAAGCATCCAAAACAGCAGGCCATGTAATGGAGCTTTGTAAGAAATATAAATCGTGATTCAACTATGTCATTCAGTATTATGCTGGCTTCAAAATTACAATTTTGGCTAGTAGAAACATGGAAAATGCTCATAAACTATGAAA